AGCAATTACTAGTCAACGGACTTGTTTCTCCATGTTTTCTAGGTGAAGACGTAAAAGGATGACTTGGCGGTGTTCTCATCATTGTTGAAAACAATAGGTTTGGTCAACAACATGCCAACCAATTTGAAGAAGCGCTTTTGTTTTGCCGGTAATTGGAGCGGTTCGAACATCTCCATGAGATGTAGCGCATAGGGAGGGAGATGCATGACAACTTGGAGCTAATCGAGAAAGAAAGAGAAATTTATGATCTTCTAAGGAAAGCAAAAATCAATATTGTTTATTATAATTTTCCCAAGTTTTATAAAGAGTAAGATGAAAGGTAAGGATATATTCTATCAAGTTTTGAGAATTATAGTCATTAATTAATAGTTAACATGAATTGTGTAGCCTATGGTGTAGGTGAGAATCAAAGATCAGGTCTGTGTCTGGCTGACCATGTCGTTGTGATCCAAAGCTTACATGTGTCTGTTAATGTTGCAGGATTGTCATCTTTAATAGAGCTTAAATTCCATGAAGAGGGGGATGAGGAATATGTTCCTCAGACGGTTCCTCGTCGAGTGGCGGCTCATGCTGCTCACCTCAAAGCATTGATGATAGAAGGGCCTTCGAAGAGCTCTCTGGTAGCTTGTGTAGCACCTTCAATGCTGAAGGGCAGAGGAAAAAATGTTCTGGAAAAAAGGAAATTGTCTAAGCTAGCTAGCTCCGTGCTTGGATTAGATGAAGTCTAGAGAGCTTGGACTGATGCGCGAGAGAGTCCTTCAGTGGAGGTTCTGTGGGTTACTCCGGCTATGGAAGACCAAATTATGATGACGAATAAAGACAGAAGTCAAGCATTTGATCTAACTAAAGATTGATCTCCTGAGAGATTTTTTTTGCCATTAGCATTCCAACTGGCCCCGATCATCATCGTGAAGAATATGAGGAAGGTGGCGCGAGACATTGACCAGGAGGACCATCACATCTCAATACTTGGAGAGCTTGGCATCCTCATAATAAAGAGCCTATATCGCCAATGCATCTCACCGGGCTCTCACAAGGGAGAAAAGATTTTAGAAATATCTGAGCTGACTTAGAGTAAGGGTCTATTTGGGGAACCTACAGCTTATCCAGATAAACAGTTTATCCTGATAATATGTTGATCAACAACTTATTATGATAAGCTGGTTGGTTGTTTGGTTTGTCTGTTTGAAAAACAACTGATTCTGGATAAATGAACATTCTGCCCATATTTTGAATACGTTGTTTATCTGTTTAGTTTATGCATTTGGAAAACAACTAATTTACAGCTTTTGCTGCATAAATGCCCAATTTAGCACGTAGCTCTTGGGTTGTTTGTAACAAAACTGTAATGGCCTCTAATAGCATGCAAACAAACTGGCCTTTACTTACGTACAAATTGAAATAGGACCTAACCATCTTAAAAAATGAACTCAAACAAGGTTATTTATATAAAATTCGCCAAGAAATACAAGCACCAAGTGTTAACATCCCCTTTCTCATACAAACAAGTTGCAAGTTCCATGTGATGCATATGAACAGGCAAAGGTAGGGCAAATCTTTCCAAATTTAACCCTTCTTTTAACTGCATTATCATCTTTTTTGCTGAAAAATTGTGGAAGGCAAACGAAACATACATTCTGCATCATACATGGGCTACAGATCCACAAATATGTTGAACAAGGAAAAGGTAAAATAAAGTTATTGGGACAGATAAGCTATCTTCTGGAAAAAAGTTTCCACAAATCAAAGAGAATCAAAGAGTAAACCGAAGGATCAGCTAAAGAGTCCATTGCCAATTGATCCAAACAGAAAAATACCTCAACTGAATCAATTACGTGAGGAATTCACCCAACACAAACATGCCTAATGGCACAAATCTAACCATTATAAAAAATATGTCAAACACTAATTCACAGATCATAAAGTACCACGATTAAAATCATCAAAACATACATTCGAATTCAAAGGAAATAGAACAAGGTCAAAGAACCACACCGACGCCATTCACGCAGGAAAGAACCTTCATCAGGTTGTATCTCGTCGGAAGGTGGGAGGATCAGACCATCAAAAATAAATACCCACCGTTCATCTCCTCTCCATAAATACTTCCATTGGATTCCGCCATCGAGAAAGGGCAAGCAGACGAATTGAATCTCGGATGCTGATCAGAGAGAGAGTCGTATCCCTCTGGTGAGGGAGAGGTGTTGTCATCATGGATGAAGCCAAACCCGGCAGGGAAGGCGGAGGAGGTGACCCCATCGGCTGAGATTTGAATTGGGTCCTTGCCGTACTCCTCGGCAGCGTAGGCCGAGTAGGAACCGTAGCTCTGGGAGGAGATGGGGGGCGAATCCCAGATAGTTGTCATCACCGAAGGGTCTTGTAGATACCCTAGAGATCTCATCGGTGTCGAAAGAGGATGACATCTCTCTTATTCCTTCTGATCGACTTCGAACTTTTTAGCAAACGAGAGTTAGGGCAGGGGCGAAAGGTGTCTTTCGCTCAAATGGAAATGGAAAACACTGGTTTCTAATACGCGCGCGGAACTTGCTTTTCAAACGGGCGGTGTCGTTTTTTAAAACGCCACCGCTGTGAATAAGCTGCCCTAAATGGGGCCTAAAAGATCGCTCTCCAAGCGGAATCCGCAGTAGAAATTCAATTGAAGTTAAGAGTGCTTGAGGAGAAGAAGTTTGGCCTTCAGTTCTCCCTGACTGAATATGCTAATGGAAAGATCGCTTATGATTGAGAGATAAAAATGTTGAACCAGGACAAAGTGAGGCTCGAAAGAGAACTATTTGATACTAGAACTTCTTGGGCTATTTTTAAAGAAACTACCAAAAAAAATTAATAAAACTAGTTCGAATTTGAGGGATGATCTTGAGGTGGTGCGGCTGGAGCTGGAACGTGAGAAGAAGAGGTCACAAAAATCACACAAAAAAGATGGAGCAACTCCATGTCGAAAGAGCTAAACAAATGAGAAAAATGACGAATATGGAGACCGAAGAGAAAGTTGTGTATAGGTATACTGCCTCTTAGGCACTTCAAAAGGTCGTAGCGGATAACGTTGATCGAACAATTGAGTCATTTTTTGACATACTCGTGTGCGAAGGAGTTCTACCTCCGGAATGGAAAAGTACTAGCTACTTTCTTACCTTCTCCTTGAAGCTTCGAAAAAAAGAGCACAAAGATGATTCTCTTGGTTAACAAGGGACCGTCTAGTTGTGCCTTAATACTCACTCCATTTTTGTACAAGTATTTGACCAAACGGTCTTGGCTGAGTGAAATCACATGAACATTGATATGTCTTGTAAGTATATTTTACTTTTTCATAGTACATGCGCCTTGGTTAATTTCTGAAAGGTTTTTTTTTTAAGTTTGATTTGGTGAGATATTATGCTCCCTTTCAAATTTTGAATTTAGAAAGTCGTTTTGGGAGGGAGTCTTAGTACAACAATGCCCCTAATTACTGTCATAAATGGCTGATGTGATGGCTGTTTTTACATATTCTGCCTGAAGGATGTGTTTCAATTTTTTTTCTTTCTTTCTTTTCTAGCTTTTTGTCTCTATTTTCCTTTGAGTGCTATAGTGTTTCAGAATATTTCTTCTTTTGAGTTTGATAACAACATTTCGATGAAGAAAAGTAAGAGTTTATTCCTTTCTCATGACTTCAAAGCCAGCTCAGAGTTAAAATATGCCGTTTTCAGGAGTTTTCCGAAGAAGCGTATCTTCAATCAATAGATCACTCTCCGGGCAGTGGAAGAAGATGAAGCACCCAATATTTATGTGGAAAACAAAATCTACTACTATTATGACTAGTTTAGATTGAACCTTTAATCTTTATCAAAGCAGCTTCCTCCTTGATTAGCTTTTAGATTAGATGTGGGTCCCTATGATTTCCAACATAATGTGTTCAGGTTTATCAAATTAAACTTCCTTTGGTTAGCTTTCAGATTAGATGTGAGTCCACATGCTTTCCATTTTGGTTTAATCATGTTTATCTCATAGGTTGGATGCGAGTCACTGTGCTCTCCATCCCACTATGTTCAAGTTTAAATGAATCTCCCCATTCAATTAGCTCTAAGTTTAGATGTGAGTAATTGTGTTTTTTATCATGATCTAATCATACAAACTTCACACAATTTCTATCTTCAGTACAAAATGATTATGAAAGGATGACAAATATCTATATTGATAAGAAAATAATTATAATATGACAGATTTGATAGAGGTGAGAAAAAAAGGAAGAACATCTTAGTTGCTTTACAAACAGAACTTAGTCATTAATTTTTGGTTAAACCTTTAAAATTATTGATTCAGCTATGATTAAAGAGAATAAGGATGAATGTGTAAAATTTATTTTAATTTCAGCATTTTAAAATTGAATCGAATAGATCGGTTGAACTTGTCAGATTGTGAATAGTGTCATAATTGCTCTAGAAAAATAAAAAAAAATCGGCCCATCCAAGAACTAGATAAAAATTGCACAAACTTGTTCAACTAGCATCCGTTGAACCTGACAGAATTTTTTAAGAAACCAAGTGGTTCTTTGTACTGCTCAAAATTTAGCTTTAATTACGTACATGAAAACCAAAGCAAATAGTCTTCCACAAATTCTCAGGCTTATTATCAAACTCAAAAAACATGGACACTCTCCCGAATCAAAAAACATGGATATGACATTAAACTGCATTCTTGTTCATTCAAATATTCTTATATTTTAGTAGTTATTTTTAATCTTAGCAGCTAATTGAACCATAACTATATACACATCGCATACAAATTAATGAATTACTGTTATATTTTTGAAACCCATTGTCATTATAATTCCATTCCTGGTCAAAACCCAATTGATTTTTTTCACGTTTAGGTTCAATATCTGATCCATTTATTAAAAGTATTAAACCATGATAAAGTTTGTCAAGTCAAGAACTAATAAAATGACTAGTCATTCAAAGTCGCAAGCTATGCACAAACTAAAGAATGGCAGCAGTTCAATTATGTACCTTTGCTTGTTGGTGCATGCCATCATTCTCCACAGTATGAGAAGGTTGCTTCATTCGAAACATGGTGCTTGTCTTCTTAGCTATGATCGAGCAAACAATTCAAGTTAACATGTATAATTCCAAAAATGTAAACACAAATTCTTTTAGTTGATATTCGTGAAAAGGAATTCAAAAGTAATTTGAGATGATGAGGAGATAAATGATGACTTTTGAAAAATATGAGAAAATCTACATTGCAAGATAATCACGTTTTAACCCGAAATGTTGACTTACTTTTTGCTGTTTAGTTAATTTTTATGTGATTCTTCCAGCCCTCCCCATGTTCATGGTTTATGGAGCTTAACTCTTTCTGCTACTCCAATTCTTAACAGAGATCCCTTTCCTAATTCTACAAATCCATAAGACCTCCACGATATAGTTAGTACAACATAACCCAAGTGTTTAATAATTAGGCACGCTTAGCCTGAGCATAAGAACTTTGCATGTTTGGAGTTCATGAGATGGATATATTAAAGTGCTTACTGAAATCAAGCTTTATTTTCTTTCTTGACCTGATTCTTAGCCCAGCACGAACTTGAGTCATTCAGAGCTGTGTCTGATGAACCATATGCAGTTCAAACATTTACGTCAAGCACACAACTTCTATCTTTTGTTTCAACACTGAAACACCATCAACCAATTAGTCATTTGGCGCAAATCTCGGGGCATGACACAAATCTCGATATAACTTTTTGAGTGAGAAATATTCAAATTTCGATTAAAAATCATTCAAAACTCTGATTTCAACAAACAGTCAAACTTACCGGCTTAATGAGATGGATCCAATGATACCAAAGTGGGTCCAATCCGAGTCAAATCACACTTGAGTGGAGGGAGACCTAGAGGTAGATCAAAGACTAAAACTTGGAGGAGAAGCTGAAATCCAGCATCGCTTCTGCACCGCAAATCTGATGAAAAATTCTCAATCCTGTAGCCGCTAACCACTATCAACCATCACCTGCCAGCCACAGTCGACTACTATCGGCCATCACTTGCTCCTTGCGGCTAAGTCCCTTGTAGAGCCACAAAGTCCGTTGTGAAATCCTAGCGTACATTGCAGAACAGTGAAGTGCCCATCGAAGCAATACGTCGTCTAGTACACAATGCAGCGATGCATCCTTAAGGTGTAATAATGTACCCCAAATACAATGCAACGACACACCCATATAAATGTGCAATAATATACCTCGAAAACGATGTAACAACGCACCTTGAATACGGTGCAATGATGCACCCTAAAGTCAATGTAACAATGCACCCATAATATAATACAACGACATACCCCAATGATAATGTAACAACGCACCACATAAACGATGCAACGACGCCTCTCGAAAACGGTGTAACAATGCAACCTGAAGACAGTGACTTTCTCTGAACTCCTAAAGCTTTCTCCTTGTAGCACAACATTGTTATGCGGTCTACGAACGTGATCGAAGCTTACCACTATAGCCTATGTGATTAACCACGCCATACATGGTGCATAGCTTGTGCAGCTCCCGACTCCAACCTTTACAGCCTAGAAACGTCATCACAGCTCACCGCTATAGTCTACATGACCAATCATGGCCTACACGGTCGACAACGCGTGCAGCTTCCGACTACCGCCTTTGCAGTATAGCTACGATCCACAACTTGATCAACCACGACCAAAATGGTTCACAGCTTATGCAGCTCCCGACTTTAACTGTTGCGGCCTACGGACATCATCACAACTTACCACTATGACCTACATGACCAACTACAATATACATAACTTACAGCTCGTGCAACTCCAAACTACGGTCTCTACGGCCTATGAACATCAATGCAGTTATGCACTATGACCTATGTGATCAACTATGACTTATGTGGTCCACAACTCGTATAGCTCTCGACTCTAGCATTTGCAGTCTGCGGACGTCATCGCTACTCACCACTACGATCTACGTGACCAACTACAAACTACATAACTTACAACTCGAACAGCTTCTAACTCTCGCCTTTGTGGCTCATTGACAACATCAGAGCTCACCACTACGGTCTACGCGGCCCATATCTCATATAACTCCCATCTCTGACCTATGTGGCTCACAGCTCCTGCAACCTCCTACTACGACCTCTGTGGCCAGCCGACCCTCCTGAAGTAACCACTTGCAACCCACATGACCAATTACTATAATGGCCTTCAACTAAGACTTATAGAATAAGTTAGATATACAACCACCATCTACAAAATTCACGGCGGATGACTGTCTTCATAGAAATCAACTAGGGCCCTTGCGTCTGCTCTGAGAACTACATTCAATATAGTCAGACTAAGGCTATTATTGATGAACTGTTATTCTACATTTACAATGATCAACTTTGTAACTCTATTTTCCTTAATTTAGGACAAGAGCTAACTTATGTACTCTCTATTCATAAAAGATTATTACTTACAATTTTTTCCCCATTTCTAAGGTTTTCCACATAAAAATTGAGGTGTTTCGTCCTGCTTATTTCTCTTTAATTACTTGAGTATGTGTTGAATTTTTGTATAACGCTCAGTTGATAATTCATTACTCTACCATCATAGTCCTTTCGACATGCATCTGAGTATAAATAACGATAAGTTTTTTTGGAACCTCCAAATATCTTCAAGCTTTAGGCTCAGCATAGTTCTAGACAGAAACCATATAGCTGGATAAATCAACAGATCTTGCATAGCAAACGGAGAATTTCCATAAGTTTCCTTTAAAGAAAGGACAGAAGAGTAACACATGCTCTAAATTACCAAAGTTTAAACTGAAATGTTCTGTGTTAGGATTACTTTTAGGCAGTGTTTGGTAGCATTATTTAAAGTGAATTTAGTCATGAATTTAGCTTAAATTCAGCTAAACATTAAAAAAAAATTCAAAATTAAATCCAACGCTTCGTTAAATCAAAATTTTTTGCATTCTGATGTTTCTTCCTGCTTTCCGTCTATTTTCGAACATAAATCAGAATTTAGTAATTCCAAGTCTGAAATGCATTTATTTATTAATTTATTCACTATCACTCAAGATTTCCTTCCCGTGAAGATGAAGATAAGATTTACAAGATTTAATAAATTCTATTTAACGTAAATCCAGCCTCCAGCCAAACGACAGAGACCCTCTCATCACGTTCAGTAAATTGTAACAGTTACATTGACGAGATTACACTTCAGCTCTCTGAATATACATATACATGTACTTGCAAGTAAAATGAGTTATTTTGACGATTTCAATCGACAACAGTGTTGAGAAATTAGAGCGAAGAAAAATAGGAATCGACACAAATCCAGAAGAACACAGAGATTTAACGAGGTTCGTCTCAAAGATGCCTACAAAGATGCCTACGTCCTCGGGAGCAGAGCGGCGAGTTCCTTTCAATATTCAGAAAAAAGATTACAAAAATCAGAGATACCTCCTGAGGTTACAAACAGACATATTTATAACCCCAGGAGTAAACCCTAAGTACAATAGGTAATTACAACATTACCCTTGTACCACACCCCCAACCCACATAAGAAAACTCCCCTGATTTGGACAGAATTTTCCGCTCTGCTCCACTCCACTCCAGCATCTGTTCCTTTATGATATATGAGTCATATCTAACAAATCTCCACATTGGCGAATATCAAGCCCCTTAGGAGAAATACGTCATGGAGTTTCTTATATACCAGAAGTGGATTAGGTCACCATGCTTCTCTAGCAACTGCAAACATTCAACAAGTCCAGACAATGCAAGAACTTGTTGATAGTAACTGGCTTGGTCAACATATCAGCTGCATTTTCATCAGTATGAACCTTCTGCAACAGTATCTCACCAGAAGCAATCAATTCTCTAATCTTGTGATACCTGACATCAATGTGTTTGGTTCTTAGCCAGATAAATAGCACTCTGATACACCTAAAATATATAGTATTTTTAGACCCATTTTTATACTTATTTTTGAGATATCGCGCTTTAATGAAAGGTATTTGTGTGTTTTTCTTTCAGGTACAAGTAAAAAGGTGAAAAATGCTAAAAGAAGTGAAAAATGATCAAATTTTGAGCAAAAATGTAAAAATGGTGCAAAAGAGTTTTGGCGCCTAAACGCCAGATCTGGCGTTTAAACACCAGTGAAAATAGAGAAGGCCGCGCTTAAGCACCAGAGGTAGTTATTTGACAATTTAATTCATTTTGTCGAATTTTGAAGGGACATTTGAGGCACCTATTGGCTAAAGATGGTGGTTATGATCACTAGAAACGAAAATAGGATTAAAAGACTTGTGAAAGGAGGCATCCTTTGGAGAATACATCGAATTTGGACATATTTTGAAAAGTTACCAATGAACCTCTTGGAAATTTATAGAAAAAGGAAGTTGAAACTTTTAGAAGTGTGTTTGAAAAAGGGGAGTCCTGAGAAGTTCTTTTGGAGAGATTTTTAGGCACAACAAATTTACTTATCTTTTTTGTTTTTAGTTTTATTGTGAGAGTTAAGTGTTGTAAAAGAGAAGAGATTCAAAAGAACTTCAAGAGTTTGGTGGAAGATTTGAGATAAATTTTTATCTTTTGTTTTTAAACTACTTTTAGTTTTAATCGAAACTTTTTGTTGGTTTCACAATGATTTCTATTTTTAAACTAAAGTGTGGTTTTGTTTTCTCCATAGATTCTGAGTAATTTTCTTTTTTTTTTCTCCTTAAAATGATAAGTAATTAAAGTGTTAGATGAAACTTGTGAAGCGTATTAGTCTTTAATGTTGAAAGAAGTTGTAATGATTTAATTTTATGTACTTCATTTACTTCTTGATCTGGTCTATCTAGATGTTAAAATTTGTTATGAGAACATGTAAGAACCGAGTTGGTATTGTCTCAGTCAATAATTAGAAAGAATCACATGAGGTTGTATGAATGAGAATGTAATTCATATGATTAAGTGCAAATAAATAGGGAAATAATCAGACTAAAGCCCCCAACTTGGTTTATTGTTTTAGGTTCTGATGTGAGATGTTAGCCCCCAAGTGAAGGGAATCGAGAGAACTCTAGAGTGAGAGCTGGTATTTTCCCTACCTAGT